AGTAGAACATAGATGGAAGTGGGGGATCGAGGAGATTGCAGTAGTGGACCAGTACACATCGCTCGGAGTAGAGATCGCAAAAGACTGCTCGTGGAATGCACAAATGTCCAAGGTAGCGGAAAAGGGCAAAGCACGAGCAGGGAAGCTGCACCCAATACTCGCAAACCGGCACCTCGATACACGCATCAAAGTGACGGTTTTGAAGAGCGCAATCGTACCGCCGTTAGAGTATGCCGGAGAAGTATGGGAAGGAAATAAGAAGGTAGTGAGAGAACTCGAGGCGGCGCAGATGAAAGCAGCGAAAATCATCCTAGGTTGTTCCAAGTACACAAGTAATGCAGCCGTCAGGGCAGAATTGGGGATCCAATCCCCACGGTCGGGAAGAGACGCGAGGAAGCTGACCTGGCAGTATCGCATGGGCGGGATGGGAGAGGAGGGGTTGCCATGAATTGTATGGGAGGCGAAGTGGGCCAACAAAAAGAGGGGTAGACAACCCACGGAATGGGTCAAGGTTGTAGAGGACGTATGGAAGGGGTTCGACATGACGAAGATGAAACGCTGGAAACGGAGGGTCTACAGGGGTTCAAGGAGAAGATATCTGGTGGTTGTGCCGAGAGAGAAAAACAGAATCTAAGGAAAGAATCCAAGGATAAGGAGGGTCTAGAAGTGTACGGAATGTTGAAGGAAGGAATAGGGTTCAAGGACTACCTACATGGACCAATGGATGCAGGAACAAAGCTTAAGGTCAAATTCAGGACCGGGGACATAGGCCTTCGAGAACGTCGACGAAGACATAGGACGGTAGACGAGGAAGACGACGAGTTCAAATGTGATTGCGGCTTCGAATGCGAAGACCGTGTTCATGTAGTCGCGGAATGTCCGTTGTACAAGAAGGAGAGGGAACTTTACATGACTGAGCTGGGAAAAATAGATGGGACGTACAGGGAGATGTTTGAGGCATGGAATAGAGAGGAAAGGACGGTAGCTGTACTGGGGCATAGGAGGTGGGTTGAAAAGGCGGGAAGGGATATCGTTAGGATAGACAGACTAGGGAAGACATTTTTGAGCCACCTTTGGCAAAGTAGAAAGGAACGATTGGCCATCGGTGATCGGTCCTGTGGGAACAATGCTCCGTCCTCTCGAGGACGCGTGGTCAATGGTCAAACCGCTATGGCATGCAAAACATAAGAGTACTTCCCCTCCATCGCTGCACCCCCCTCGGTGTTTGCCGTCGGGGTCGGGTTTTCGTCGCTTGGCAACGACGGTTGCAAAACAAGTCGGTCACTTCGTGAGCTCGGCACACAGGTTACCGCTTTTCTTTTTTTACCGCTGGTTTTGTTTTTGGCGGTAACCATTGTGGTGGTCGAGTTGATTATGTTGGGCGGGGTCGAGAACCCTCACTCCGCGCAAAGAGGGTGATCGCACCACGTTGTGTCAAATTGGACAAGCACACCCTCGAGGCAGTTACACGGTGCTTACAACTGTCTCTGGAAGTGAAAGCACCAGAAAATTAACTGAGTCATACGCAGCTGTCATCTGTACGCAAGGGAGTAAGCACAAGATGCCTAACACCCTTAGCATGATGAAGCGCACCCTTCATGCGACTCGCCGAATACCTCACGGCGCTTCGCGCTTGGTGATGTGAGAGCCTGGTCCGATGCGAACCCGGCGTGCTCCGTCCCGGCTTTGTAGGGGTGCGGGGTCAATGGTGTAACGACTACGGCATGCACGACTATGAGTACACCCCCTCCCGTCCCTGCACCATTGCACACACACCCCAAGAGCGATGACGTACCTTTGCTGTTTCGGGTGGCCCTTTTTGTTTGTTTCGTAACGTTTTGTTTGATTTGGTTGTCGGTACGGTCGTAGTGGTTCTGGCGTATGTCTTTCTTTTCGTCGTTCTCTTTCTCCCCCGGTTTTCCTCTTGTTTTTTCTTCCTCTCCCAAGGGCGCACAAAAACATTTTTTCCGGCACCTACACGACAAAACTCTATTTTTCACCTCTCCGCGGTGAGGGGGGCGGGAGGGGGGGTACGAAGGCCCCATCACCTCACCTCCCAACGCCACGCAATTTCCAAGCCCATACTAGATCCTACCATATATAAAGGGGGAACATTTCAAGCACGCGGGCAGGACAATCCACGTAACCCTTGGGTGAGCTTGCGTGCACCGCAGCCGCGGCACCGTCCGTAGCAGAGGTGAGAGAGAGAGAGAGAGAGAGAGAGAGAGAGAGAGAGAGAGAG